TGGATAATTAAAAAATATATATATTATTAATTTTTTTTACAGGGAGGAAGGGAGAGGGATAGAGAGTTAGAAACATCGATGAGAGAGAAATATCCATCAGCTGCCTCCTGTACACCCCTACTGGGGTTGTGCCCGCAGCCAAGGTACATGCCCTTGACCGGAATCGAACCCGGGACCTTTCAGTCCGCAGGCTGATGCTCCGAGCAGCCGAGCTCAGCGAGCGCCGGGTCCTGGGTCCTGAGGGCGGACGCGGTGGAATGAGGCTCATCCCTGCTCAGCCCGGGCGGGGGTCCCCCAGCAGCGGGTCCCCCAGGCCCACCCGGCACTCCAGGGGCCTCCGCCGGCTCCCGGGCTCCTGTGCTCACGCCGCCGCCGGCGGCCACACGGGGGCGCTGGTGCCCGCCGCCCCGCGCGGAGCGAGGACAAAGGGAGCGGGACGGGCCTGAGCACCTGCTGGGGCCTCCCAGGCACCGGCCGGAGGAGCCGGGTCCGTGCGGGGAGCGCCCCCCACGGCGTCCCCCCGCCTCGGCCCGGGGCGGGTGCGGGCGGGGACCCGAGGGCCTGGTTGTGGGTTTACGACGTCCGCGCCCAGCCCCCCAGGTCCGCAGAGGCGTCCGCCTCGCCTCCGGCTTATGAACCGGAGCTTCGCTTCCCGTTTGGACGAAGAGCCCCCGCCCCCCCACACACACACACACCCTGGGACAGTGACACGGACACCAGGGGAGGCGCACCCCGTGGGGTCCGGCCCGCGGACACCCGTCAGCCCAGCCCGGGGGCTCCTGGCCTCCAACCTCCGACTCCAGCGCACCCTCCTCTGCAGCCCCCACCCCACACCCCTCCCGTGCAAACCCCCGAGGTCTTATCAGGACACCCCGACCAGGACACCCCATCAGGACACCCGATCAGGACCCCCAGGAGGCCCAGTGGCCGCCTCCGTCCACCAGCAGGTGTCTGTCCGGCAGGAGGCAGCTCAGGGCACCGCCCGGATGGACCAGCCGGGCGGCCAGGCCCGCGTGCAGACAGGCAGACAGGTCGGCTTCCTGGGCCTTACAGGGCAGGGGCTCCCCCTGAACCCTTCGCCCGGATGGCTGCCCACGGGCACGGCCGCCTGTGCCCAGGCCTTCCCTTCTCCCAAGGGGTTGGAACCTGGGGCCAAGGAACTCCCACGGAGACCGGGCCTGCACCCACTGTGCTTTCTGTCCAGCTGCCAGCGGACGCCGTGGCGGGGAGCGGGCAGGGGCCAGGGGTGGCACAGTCACCTCTCCTTCGACGAGAAGGAGCCCAGGGCGGATGCGGCTCGGTGGGTAGAGTGTGGCTGGGGCATGACTCAGGCCCCCTGCCCAGGCCCAGGCCCAGGCTCAGATCAGCGGGGTCTCCCGTGGGCACTCCGGGCCTGTCAGCTGGGGCGGAGAGGGGGCGGCGGGGCTCAGCAGCGAATGGCCGAGACTCGGTTAAAACCGGGTCTGTGATAGCATCAGGGTGTTCTAGGAGCTTCCCCGAACCCCTCAGACCTCCCAGCGGTCCTGGAGGAGGGATAGGAAGGACTCAGACTCACAGGAAGCACCTTCTCCCTGTTTCATGCCCCTGTGCTGAGAGGGGCGTCCAGCAGGAAAGGCTGCAGACCTCTATCCTCTCTGTGACCCTCTGAGGTCCGGACGGGCACCTGGAGCGCAGGGAAGGCTCAGAGAGCCCTGGAGGAGCCAGAGCCATGCCCGGGCGCGGACGTCGTAAACCCACAGCCAGGCCCTCGGGTCCCGCCCGCACCCGCCCCGGGCCTGGGAGGGGGGGGGGGGGACGCCGTGGGGGGCGCTCTCCGCACGGACCGGCTCCTCGGGTGTGTGTGTTCAGGATGAGGCTAGGCCCTGTGACTTTGCTTCAGTGAAGCGCCATCCGCTCCCTGAAGGGGGGACAGAGCTGTGGGGGGCCCAGCCCGCCCCTCACGGGCGCCCAGGACCCTGGGACTGTCCCGCGCCCTCTCTCAGAGGCTGCTCCTCCCCCTGCACATCGCTGAGACCTCGCTTTCAGCCCGAACAGCCCGGCTGCCAGGCTCAGGCCACATTGCAGGGCTCATTAGCACTTAATTAGCTTTTATTCCTCCAACTTCTCTGCAGGCCGAGGACCAGCCAGCGCTGGAAACAGTTCTTAAAGGAGAAGTTCCAGTCCGGAGGGGAGAGGCAGCGACCACCCCTCCCTCCCGCCCTCCCCAGAGCCATGGGCTGGGGGTGCAATGTGTATTGGGGGGGCGGGGGGCTGGGCCACGGAGTTCTGCTGTCTCACTGTTTTTATTATTACTTTTTTATTGAAATTTTGGGGGTGACACTGCTTGGCAAAAAATTTTTAAAAACTTTTATTGGGCCCTTTTAACAGAGTCCCCCCCTCGGGACCCTCACTTTTCTCCGGCCACGGACGTGCCATCCTCCCTAGAGTGAAAAACGAGAACTGGTCTGGGGCCTTTTGGGGGAATTAAAAAAAAGGTGATAAGCAGGGCATTTTGTAAAGGGGATGATCGGGAAGAAAAGGGTCCCGGCGGGGGGTGGAGGCTCCTGAATGCCGCCTTGTCTGGCGGCCCTGGGCCGGCTCAGCTCCAACTGTCACCTCCCATTCTTGCCGGGCGTTTCTGCCCTTGCCGATTGGCGCTATTTACCTATTCACACGGCGGAGGCGCTCATTAATAGGCTTATTAGCACCACCATTCACCCGGGCCATTGACACAGGGTCCCAGCCGCGGAGGAGGGGAGAGAAGAAGCTGTAAAGAGATTATGTCCTCATTCAGGAGCCGGCCTGGGAGTGCTCGGAGGTCCTCCACACCGAAATGCGAAAACAGAATTAGTTCTGTGTTGTTGTGGGTTTTTTTTCTCTCTCTCCAAATTCCAAACACGCTTCTCCTTTTCTCAGGGCCGAAGCCCTCTCTGCCTGCGGTGGGGCTCGCGCCCCGCGCCCGGACCCGTGCGTCCCCGTGAGGAATGAGCCTGCCCGGAGGACCTCGCTGTTTGTCACGTCCAGGCCAAGGCCGCCTCCCATTCCGGGAGGCTGGGCCGGGGACGAGCTTCCTCCCGGTAATTCATGTGGGAACGTGCTCGTGGCGTCCTCAGCGGCTGATGGATGTGCCGGCCGGGACGGAGCGGGTCTGTCCGGTGCCCGCGGACCCGCCGGGCAGACACGCACCTCTCTCTGTGACCTCAAGGCTGAGTGCAGGGGAAGCATTGGCGCCTGAGTCCAAGCCGGTGGGAGTGGGTGTCTGGGTGTCGTCAGTTTAAAGGTCCGGGACTGACTCCGGTGAGAAGACGTGGCCCCACATCCATCCCTCCCCCAAACAGGCAGGCCGGCCATTTTGCTGGAGAATCAGGCTGTCCCTGGCAGGGGTGCTGTCACATTTCCAAAATGTAACGTCCTGCCAGTTTGCGTGAAGCACGGCAGTGGGTCTGAGACGCCTGGCTTTTCAGTCATTTGCGTGAGCAGTTGTCTGTGGTGTCCTGTGAGGAAGAGAGGTTTCGGGCCTTAACTGGTGTGGCTCAGTGGATAGAGCGTCGGCCTGTGGACTGAGGGGTCCCGGGTTCGATTCCGGTGAAGGGCATGCACCTTGGTTGTGGGCACATCCCCAGTAGGGGGTGTGCAAGAGGCAGCTGGTCGATATTTCAAACTCTATCCCTCTCTCCCTCTCTGTAAGAAAATCAATAAAAATATTAGAAAGAAAGAAAGAAGAAGGAAGGAAGAAGGAAGGAAGGAAGGAAGAAGGAAGGAAGAAGAAGAAAGAAAGAAAGAAAGAAAGAAAGAAAGAAAGAAAGAAAAGAAGAGAAGAGAGGTTTTGGGCCATGAGGCACCTTGAACGCGTTCTGGACGGGGGATGTTGGGGACCCACGTCACCTGCGTCTCTGATTGCGGGGAAGGTCCGTTTCCAGTCCAGTTGGGACTCACTCCCCTCGACCCCCTGCCCCTTTAGGCCTCAAAAGCTGCCGAAACACTTCTGGGTCCCATGAGGCTTTTGGAGGAAAAGCCTGAAAGGATTGTAGCTCCACTTCAGCCTGGACGCAGCATGGCTGCACGGTGCGGGTGAGCGAGGAGGGGAGGGAGGACAGCGGACTGAAATCAGTGACAGGGCGGCCCAGGCGCACGGCACGGCTGACGGCGGGCTCCCAGCAGGGGCGTGCAGGAGGCGGCCCACCGTGTGTCCGCAGCACGTCAATGCTCCTCTCTCTCGCCTCCCCCCTCTCTCTCAAAATCGATTAAAACTCTTGAAAAAAATCACCCCATCCGATGAACGGGGAAATGTGACCAGTGACAGCTCGGCCGTCCGCGGAGGAACCGGATCTCGCGGCCGAAGAGTCTCGGACAGAGGGGAGCGGACTCGCTGCGGGTGACAGGGCGGTGTGAGGCGGATCGAGTCCAATATCTGGAATTTCTGCATTAATTCAGAAATAAAGGACAGAACACCACCCCGTGGCTGCAGGCTTTCGGACTCACAGGCTCTGCCAGGACCAGCTGTGTGCCCCCCACTTTCGCCATCAGAACCGGGACCTGACTCCCGGGCGGGGGTCAGGGAGGGACCCCCGCGGGGCCTCTGTGAACCCGCCGCTGCCTCCGCGGCTGCTGTTCGCGGACGGACACGCCGCGTCCCGCAGACCCGTCCGGGCCCCTCCCGCCCCGCGTGGCCGTGCGCCCCGGGCTCCCCGCGGGGAGCCCCTCCCGCCCGCGCGGCCCCCCGGTCTGGGGGGGCGGGTCCCGTCCGGGTTCTCTGGCTCGAAAGGCGACCACGAACCGCATCGCCGGCCCAGCTCCGGTCAGGCCGGCCCGGGTGGACGGGACCGCGGGGCCCTGTCCCCCCGCGGGCGCCCCCCTCCGGCCGCTGGGGCCCGGGCCGCGGCGCGGGCGGCGCTGATTGGCGGAGCGGCGCCCCGTCCGGGAAGCGGCTCGGGTTTCAGGGGCGGGGCCGGGCGGGCGGGCGGGACGGGCGGCGGGCGGGCCGGGCGGGCGGGCGGGCGGCGGGGAGCGGGCGCGGGCAGCGCAGAGCCGATCGGCGGGCGAAGGCGGCGGTGCGGGTCCTCGAGCGGCGGGTGCGGAGCGCGGAGCCGGGCGCCGAGGGGTCTGCGCGGCGAGGGCGCCGGCGCTGCGTCCGCTCCCGGCCGGCGGGGTCCGTGCTCCCGGCCGCTCCCCGCTCCCCGGGCCGCGCTGCGAGCGGAGTTGGGGGCCGCCCGCCCTTTCCCCCGCCCGCGCCCCGCGCCCCGCGCCCCGCTCCGGGCGCCGCGGCATGCCCGCCCCCCGCCGCCCCGGGCGCGCGTGAAGCCGGAGCCTGGAGGACCGGGGCCCGCGCTCCTGCTGGACTTCCCCGGACCCCGTCCCGCCTCCGTCCCGCCCACGGGGCCCGGGCACCGGACCGGGCGGAGCGCTGCCATTCAAGGTAATCGCCGCGCGGGCGCCGGCGCCGCGCCAGGGGAGGTGGGCGCGGGGCCGGGGGCACGGGCGCTGGGGTTCGGGGGGCGCTGCCGCCGCCGCCCCTGTCACCCCGCGGGCGCGACCCTCGGACCCGAAGCCGGCGGGGAGGCCGGGCCGCCCGCGGGACTCAGCCGCAGGTCCGCTCTCTGAGGGCATCTCCGGGTCCCTGGTTCCAAGGCCGGGGGCGCCTGCCCCGTCCCTCCGGGCCCGGCGGTGTGTGTGTGGGGAACCCGGGAACCCGGGAGGAGCGGCTGGAGCGGTGGGGAGGGGGGGACCCTCTGGGCCCGGCGCTTCGGTTCTGCGACTTCGGAGCCGCCGCCCGGTGCCGGGGGGCGACTGCGCCTCCGCCCCGCGTCCCGACGGCGCCCACAGCGCGGGGTCCCCACTGCGCTCCCCCGGCCCCGCACCACCTCCTGCGGGGTCCGGCCCGACCACAGGCTCCCCCCTCCCCGCGCCCTCTCCCCGCGCCCCGCGCACCCCTCCCCGCGCCCTCTCCCCGCGCCCTGCGCACCCTCCCCGCGCCCCTCGCACCCCCTCCCCGCGCCCTGCGCACCCTCCCCGCGCCCTCTCCCCGCGCCCCTCGCACCCCCTCCCCGCGCCCTCTCCCCGCGTCCCTCGCACCCCCTCCCCGCGCCCCGCGCCCCTCGCACCCTCCCGGCGCCCTGCGCCCCGCGCCCGCGCCGTCCTCCCCGGAGTCCGTCCACCTGCCCTCGGAGCTGACCGCCGTTTACCCGGGCCCCGCTCTGCTGGGGAAACCTCAGCATCTCTAACCCCATTGTGTCGGGGCCCCAAATCCCTCACTCTCCGGCGGCTCATTTTCATGTGAAAAGCCCGGTTAGTGTGAAAGGAGCGCAATCAGTGCCTCTCCTCCAGGAATGCCCATTAAAATGCACATTTCTGAGCGGCGCGGAGCCCGTAGAACAGGACCTCCAGGCCCGCGGGGGCCAGAGACGCTGCCCGGACCCCGGTGCCCGCGGTCCCGGGGCTCTGCGTCCCGGACCGCCCACAGGCGTTAGGGAGCGGGTGGGGGCCCGGCCAGCCCTTGTTTAGTATTTTTTAAGTTTTCGGGTTTTTTGAGGAATCATCCCACTGCCCCATCCCATGTGACCCCTGGATAGCGACCTCCCCTGCTCAGGGCTGGGCGAAGGGCAGTGCTAGGGAGGCTGGGCCTGGAAACACTGCCCCCAGGGGGCCTGGCACCCCTCCCCCAGGCACCCCTTCCCCGGGCACGGCTCCTCGGGGCACCCCCTCCCCCGGGCACCCCTCCTCTGGGCACCCCTCCCCCCAGCACAGTTCCCCCAGGGCACCCCTCCCCCGGGCACCCCTCCCCGGGGCACGGCTCCTCGGGGCACCCCCTCCCCCGGTCACCGCTCCCCCGGGCACCCCTCCCCCGGGCACCCCTCCCCCAGGCACCCCTCCCCCGGGCACCCTCCCCCAGGGCACCCCTTCCCCGGGCACCCCTCCCCCAGGGCGCCCCTCCCCCGGGCACGGCTCCCCCGGGCACCCCTCCCCCGGGCACCCCTCCCCCGGGCACGGCTCCCTCTCCTGATAGAAACCCCAGAACAAAGCGCCCTGGGGCTCAGCGCCAGGCGGATGGACAGAGCTCCGTGGGTGGGAGGTCCTGAGGGTGTCCCCACACCGCTCCCCGGGCCCCCCACACCCTCGCCTTCCTGAGGTTCTGGGGTTGGGGGATGTCCTGGTTCTGGAGGGGCCCATATAGACCCATAGGGACCACCGAGGGCAGGCTGTGCCGAGGTGGGCGAGGACCAGAGGCGGGTGGTCACCGGAGCCATCCATCACGATGACACTCCCGCCCCCGAGAGGGGTCCCTTTCAAGGGAGATAAACACGCTTTCACTGCGGCCTGGACTCCAGGAGGATTATGGTGCTGGAGGCAGGAGGCCGGTTGTGGCTGCCGCGGCTGCTGGGCCTGTGTTCCCACACCGGGCGGGACCCCCGCGTCCCCTCCGGCCCCCGAGGAGCTGGGCAGACCTGCCGCCTGGTCCTCCGCCGCCGGGCTGTGCCCAGTGAGGGGACCAGGGTGGGTGGGGGCTGCCAGGTGGGGACCTGGGCTGGATCGGTTTCTGGTTCAGGCTCAGTGGGTGGACGAGTGGCCGGACGGAGCCGTGGTCACGGCTCCTTCCCTGCTCAGAGCGAGGAGCCCTCCGGGCTGGTGGCAGGTGAGGGCTGCCAGGTGAGGCCGGGAGCCGCCGGGCCGTCTGCCCGGATCAGAGGCTGTGGGGAGTTGTGGGGCAGAGCATTCCCATGCTTCTCTGAGCGATCGGTGAGGACTATGTGCCTTACCGCCCACGTGTGTGTACACACAGAGACGAATCATGGTTTGAGGCGATTAACGTTAAGAGGAAGGAAAAGGTTGGGGGAAATCCTGCAAGCTATTTGCAAACACACACACACACACACACACTTACACTCACACTCACACTCACATGTGCATACACACATGCACACATGCAGACACACTCACACACACAGTCACACACGTACACACACTCAGACACATGCACACACAGAGACACACATACATGCTCACACACATGTACACACTCACATTCATACACATGCACACACATACACTCTCACACTTATACAAGCTCTCACACATACACATACACACTCTCACACACAATCTTATGTCACACACGCTCTCATACACACACACTCACACTCACACATACACATGCACACACTCTCACACACACACGCTCACACGTGCTGGGAACCGCACGCCTCAGGGCTGTACCTGGAGCGGGTGTTCTCCTCCCGGGTGGAGTGCCTCTTCCTCACGTGTTAGCCTCCGGCCGCGGCCGCGCTGGGGCGGCCGCGTGTGGAAGCCCAGTCAGAATGTGAGCCCTCACGTGGGCGTGCAGAGAGCATGGGTCTCGGGGGTTTTATACTAAACCCCAGGCCCTGCCGCCCCAGGCTTATAAAGCGTGGCTCATTCGTGGCGCACAGAGCCTGGTTGTTGTGATCAGATTTGCTGAGCTCTGTGCGATCGGCTCTGCGCCGGGGGGTCTGGCCGTGGGGGAAGTTAAGCTCGGAACACTCCCTCCGCCCGGGGTCAGCTGGGAGAGCCCAGTGGGAGCTGAGTGCCCCGGCACAGACTCTGCTCCGAAATGGCAGCTGGCAGGGAGCCTCCTGCACGCTCTCGGCCCGGCCACGACCGTGACAGCCGCTTACTTACCGTCATCGTCATCGGTAACCCCTGCGCCATGCGTCCGGGCTCGGCCGTGTCACCCGCCGGGGAGGGACGCGTTTGCCGGGCCGGGCTGCCCGATCCCGGAGGTGGGATCTGGCCGTGCCGTGCCACGTTGTAGATCCTCGGCGTTGAGTGTGCTGCATCGCGGTTGCGGCCGTGGCGACAGGCCGGGGCCCGCTGCCGCGTCTGAACACGAACCCTGACATGGCGGACGGGCGGGGGCTTTGGAGCTTCCCCAGATTCTTTCTGCGGCGAGCACCCCTCGGAGCTGGCGCCGAGGAAATAACTCCCCACAACCACTCCGGGTTCAGCTCTTTTCCCCCTTAAATATGTTTATTGATGTCAGAGGGAAAGGGAGAGGGGGAGAGAGAGACAGAAGCATCCCTGATGAGAGAGAATCACGGACCAGCTGCCTCCTGCACCCCCTGCACTGGGGATCCAGCCCGCAGCCCGGGCCTGTGCTCGGACCGGGAATTGAACCGTGACCTCCTGGTTCCCAGGTGGACGCCCAGTCCGAGCGGTGCGGCCGGGCAGGATCCCGTTTTCTCACGCCCGCCCGCCCTGCCAGGAGAGCTCGGGGGCCGGCCAGGTTCATGGCGATTCACCAGGGTGCCCCGTTGCCCTGGACGCCGAGGTCACGTGGCTCCTGCTTGCTGTCCCGGGCGGGAGGCGATGCCAGACAGGAGAGGGGCCGTCCCCGCAGAGTACGGGTTCCCCCAGACCACCCCCCGGGGCGTGCACCTGCCGGGGAGCCCTGGGGCCCGGGGCGCGGAGGGGAGGCCTGTGCAGGTGCCGGAGGGGCGCAGGGAGACGCACTGACCCCCTCTCTCTCCTCCAGGGGCTGCAGTCCCCGCGGCGGGACCCCCGGGGCCGTGTCTCCTGAGCCCAGGCCCAGCGCCGCCGGCCCATGCTGCAGGGCCGGTGAGCAGATGGGACTGCCGTCCGCGCGGGGATGCGGACGAGGACGGGGCCCCGGCTCCACGGCCCTGGCCCGCTGGGGCTGCCTCGGCTGCCTGCTGGCGGTCACCATGGCGACCCTGGCGCTGGCCCGGCCCTCCAGTCTGGTCCAGGACACCACGCTGGAGCCGGAAGGTGAGTGTCGTCATTCCGGGCGCCGGGCGGTAGGGGTTTGTCCGGGGAAGGGGCCCCGGGGCCGAGGCGGACCCAGAACCCCCGTCGGTGCCTGCGTCTGAGGCCGGAGCGTCTGTGCCGTTGGCGTCTGGGGTTACGAGAGGTTAAAGACGAGGCTGGAGAGGAATCTGAGGGCGAGGGAGCCGTCTCCTCTCCCCGGGTCAGAGGTCAGGGGAGAGGGCACCGGCCGGGCTGCAGGCGCAGAGGTGCGGGCTCTGGTTCGGGGGGAGCACTGGGGTGTTTCTTTGTGCGGTGGGAGCGGCGGGTGCTCGCCTGCCCCCAGCTCCCAGGAGAGCCGGGCCGGGCCGGGGCCTCCTGCCTGCCGCACCCAGAGCTCCCGGCCGGGCCCTCTCGCCGGGAGCCTCGCTCCCGACATGCGGAGTGGCTGCTGGTGGAGCTGCGGTTGGTGGACGGTGCCAGCGTCTGAAACGCTGACACTTTGTTTTCATTGTCTGAGAGCAGAAGCCGCTCCGAGCGCAGCCGCGGGGCTGGCCCTGGTGGGTTTCCTTAGCCGCTGACGCTCCTGGCACAGCGCCCCGTGTCGGTGGGTCTGAGCTGAGGCCCCTGGCACCCGCCCCGGGGAGACCTCCAGGGCCGCGGGGCCGGGCTGCGTCGGGGGCTGTGTGCACTGGAAGGCCGGTGAGCACAGGCGGAGGCGGCTGCTCGGCCGGGCAGGACGGACCCTCTTCGGCGGCCGCCTCGCCTCTGCTCAGTGCAGCGTGGAAATCTGTCGTCGGCCGGGAATATCGGCCGCCCAGCCGTTTTCGGGGGAAATCTGAGAACAGAGCGGCAGATCCCGGCTCTCATCGCCGCCCGATGAACCTGCGTGTGGGAGCCCATCTGCTGCCCTCAGTCCGGGGCCGGGGGCCGGGGGCCGGGGGGCGGGGCCAGGGCGGCCGGGGGGCGGGGCCAGCCAGGCTCTGGGAAAGCCCTGAGCGCCAGGCTGGCCCGGGACGGGACAGGACAGCCGTCAGGACAGGGCAGGGGAGGCCGGGCTCCTGTCCGAGGTGGGGTGCTGAGTGAGGCCCCCCACCAGCCCCCACATGAGGTGGCAGAGAGAGGGCGCACCCCTCTCTAGCCTGGAGGCACCGGGTGACCCGAGTGAACAGGTGTGGGGACTGCGGCCTCCAGGCTGGGGGAAGTGACTCTGGTAAGAGTTGGTGTCCCAGCCCTGGCTGGTGTGGCTCAGGGGATAGAGCGTTGGCCTGCGGACTGAAGGGTCCCGGGTTCGATTCCTATCAAGGGCACATGCGGAGCTCCATCTCCAGAAGGGGGCCTGCAGGAGGCAGCCAATCAATGATTTCTCTCTCATCATTGATGGCTCTCTCTCCCTCTCTCTCTCTCTCTCACTCTCTCTCTCTCTCCCCTCCCTTCCTCTCTGAAATCAATAAAAATATATTTTAAAAAAGTTGGTGTCCCAGGTTGTAGCCAGGACACCCATGGGACCGCCTCCTCACAACACCAGCAGGAATGCAATTCGCAATGGTGATGCTTTTAAAAAAAATTGATTTTAGAGCCCGGCCGGCGTGGCTCAGGGGTTGAGCATCGACCTATGAACCAGAAGGTCAGGGTTCGATTCCTGGTCAGGGAAAAGGCCTGATTTCTGGGTTCGATCCCTAGCAGGGGGCTTGCAGGAGGCAGCTGATCGATGATTCTCTCTTGCCATTGATGCTTCTCTCTCCCTCTACCTTCCCCCCTGAAATCAATAAAAACATATTTGAAAATAAGTAAGTAAAAGTTGACTTGGGAAAAAGAGGGGGAAATGTGCATTTGTTGTTCCATTGGCTCAGGCATTCACTGTTTGCTTCTTGCATGTGCCCAGCCTGCGCTCGAACCCGGAACCTTGCTGTGTTGAGATGATGCTCTAACTGGCTGAGCCAGCCATCCAGCCGGGCCGCACTGATGTGTTTTGAGAGGGCCCGAGAGGCTGCGCTGCTGAACGCCAGGCCTGCACGCCTTTAATTCTGCCAATAATTAAATCGGATGTCTCCCTAATTGCCGGGGTCCCCGCAGTGCGGGGCTCAGCGCACACACAGGCCGCGGAGCCGGGGCTGCTGGCCGGTGCACCCCGTGGCGGGGAAAACTGTCCTTCTTCATTTAGACCCTCCAGCAGCGTCACCGGGAGTTTATTCCAACATAAAACGTGAAAGGGCCCTGGAGGACTCCTTGTATCGCATTGAATTATTGAAGGAAGTTTAGAGAGAGAGAGAGAGAGGGAGAGAGAGAGAGGGGGTGTGTGTGTGTGTATATACTCGCCGGGAGAGTGTGAGTGTGTGTGCGTGTGTGTGTGTGTGTGTACTCGCTGTGTGTGTGTGTGTGTGTGTGTGTGTGTGTGTTTGTACTCGCCGGGAGTGTGTGTGTGTACTCGCCGGGAGGAGGAGGGGGGCGGAGGGGAGGCCTGGGCAGGGCCTGGCCCCTGTGGGTCTTGGTGCACCAGTTTGTATCCAACATGTGCTGTTGGGAGCCAGCTTTCCCCACCTGGAACCCGAGAGGGAGGGGAGGTCTGGGAATGCCCTCAAACTGGGGTCCCGGGCGCCAATGTCCCTGTGCGCTCGGGGCTCACAGTGTCTGTGAGCTGTGCCCGGGGTGACGAGGGGTTAAAAGAGGAAGATTGTAGTGGGAGGGGTGACCCCCACAGGACCCCTGGGTCTCAGGTTCCTTCTCTGTGTCCGAGGGCTCCATCCGATGACCTTGGGGGCCGTTCGTGAAGGTCGGAGGGCAGCAGCCTCAGAAGCCTTCGGGTGGCTTGCTTCGAAAGGTGCTAGGGTCCTGGCTGGCGTGCTCAGCGGTTAGAGCGTCGGCCGGAACACCAAGGGGTTGTGGGTTCGATTCCCGGTCAAGGGCTCGCACTGTGGCTGCAGGTTCCATCCCCAGCCCTGGTTGGTGTGCTTGTAGGCAGCAACCATTCTCCCCTCACCTCTCCCCTTCTTTGTCCCTCCCTCCCTCCTATTCCCTCTAAAAATGTCACCAATGGGGCAGAAAAGGTGGTTGGAGCATAAAGAGCAGTTACGGTATTTTGGAGTTGAAGGATGCCAACCTCACGGGAAGAGTCTGACGGGGGGGGCAGGGGAGAGGGGGGCTGGCATATACCCCCCTCCCGTCATCGCCCCCCCTCCCTGTGGCCAAGGTGGATACAATGCATTGGGATCAGGGCAGACAGTAGCTGTGGCCAGGAGGCCGCCCCAGTCTGCTCGCTGTGTGTGCGTGCGCGTGTGCGTGTGCATGAGTGCACGTGTTTATTAGACACGGACCCCGTCCGCGTGTTCGTCACCCCCGGTGCTGGGCTGTGGCTGTGGCCTCTGTTGCACAAGGAGGCTTATCTCGGAGCCTGTGGTTGGTCATTGGAGCTCGGTTCCGATAACGCTGTGGCCTCGGCCAGAGCAAACGGCGTCCAGGGACGAACGTGACGAGGTTCCCGGCAGGAGCCGGGCCGGCCGGGCGGAAGGGGCCTCCGGGAAGGACGGCCCGGGGGCTCGGAGGGCAGATTGTCCGTCGGTCCTGGGCCGTCGGCCCACGGCGGTGGGCGGAGGATGGTCCTCCATGCCGGCTGTCCCGCTGATGAATAATCTAAGTATCCGAAGGACAGTCAGGCCGATGACCGGGGGAGGAGGCAGCTCTTACTTTCAAGTTCCTCCTGCGGCTGCCGCCTCCTTGCCTCCTCGGGGTAATTAAGTCGCTGTTGACATTAATGCCATCACTGTTTACACCAGCCCAGTGGGAGGAGGTAAAGGGCTTTTCCAGCCCCAAACCTTTAATTACTTTCCCACCCTCCACAAGTGTGACTGGAAGGCAGAGGCCCAGGAAGAGAGCCGCATGTGTGTGTCTGGTGTGTGTGTTGTGTGTGTATGTGTGTGGGGTGTGTGTGTGTATGGTGTGTGTGTTGTATGTGCATGTGTGTTGTGTGTGTGTATGTATGTATGTGTGTGTCTGGTGTGTGTGTCTGGTATGTGTGTGTGTGTTGTGTGTGTGTCTGGTGTGTGTGGTGTGTGTATGTGTGCACTCGCGCTCATGTGTGTGTGTGTGTGTCTGGTGTGTGTGTTGTGTGTGTGTCTGGTGTGTGTATGTGTATGTGTGTGTATACGTGTGTGTGTTGTGTGGGTGTCTGGTGTGTGTATGTGTGTGTATATATGTGTGTGTATGTTATGTGCGTATGTGTATGTGTTGTGTGTGTATGTGTATGTGTGTGTCTGGTGTGTGTTGTGTGTGTATGTGTGTGTCTGGTATGTGTGTATGTGTGTTGTGTGTGTGTTTGTGTGTGTGTGTTGTGTGTGTGTTTGTGTATGTGTGTGTGTCTGGTGTGTGTGTGTGTGTGTGTGTGTGTGTGTGTAACCAGTTTTTGGGGCAACCATCTAAGAGTTGATGCTGTTCTGGGCCCGGGGGAGCTGGTCCCCAGTTCAGCAGCAGAGAGGTTGAGGGAGGGACCCATGCCCCCCCCCCCCACCCCCCAGACTCTTCCCGCCGGCTGGCGTCCTCCGACTATCACAAATGCCGTAGCGTCAGCCATACGCGTTTAATTGGGAGTTAAAAGAGAAGGGGAAAGGGAACATGTCCGCATACCAGGAGGGGCCGGTTAAAATAATCTCTGTTTTGCATTATCTGCATCTCGGCTCCCCGTCCGAGTGCTAATATTTAAGAGTTGACTGTAACCCGATCGCTCGCTGGGGAACAAGGACTTATTCTTGGTCAATTAAGCCGAATGCAGGCTTGTGCAGTTAGGCACACAATGAGGCTCACATTCTTTATTAGTGCATAAAGTATTTCACAATTCGCAGACAAAGGGCCGTGTTTAGCGTGACTTCTGGAGCAAAACGCTGGCAGCCCCGGAGGAACCGGTATTTGTGCGCTCGCTCCGATCCCGCCCCCTCTGACCCAGATCCCGGCGTGTGCTCTGCCCACCTATTTTTAACCCCGAGCGCCGCCGGCCCTGCCCCCGCCCGCCCCCCGCCCGGGCGGCCGCGCAG